AAACAAATAAAAAATCATCGAATGTTTTTTTTTTAATAATGAGATTAAAAATCACCAAATTAAATCGAAAATTATATTTTCTTTTTTCAAACGTTTGTTCAGCTTTTTGCAAAATTTTTGTATTTTTCATGCGTTTTAGCACATTTTTTAAATCAGAAATGTTCTTTTTTATTATAAAATTACGATTTTCTAAAACGATCGAAATATCACCCAAATGGGTCAAGAATAGTGTTGTGTTATCTCAAATATTTTAAAACGACAAAACTTTTACACAATTTCAAAAAATTAAGGGGGACAAAGAAATTTCTTAAATTGTTTGGTGATTTTTGAAAGACTGTATTTCAATGAAAAATGGTCGTATCTAGAATTAAAAAAAAGAAGCTTCAGTTTCTAGTCTTGGGATCTTTTGTCAAAAAATTTGTAAATATTTATATTATTTTTTTTGGTTCACGGACTTGGCAAATTTTTTTATTAGTTAAACCAATGCATATATAGCTTCTTTATTCAGCTTCAGTTTGCTTTTTTTTGTTCTCTTTACACATATTTCCTACAAGATGTTTTTACGATTTTTTAAAAGTTTTTATTGATTTATAAATTGGTTTTATTAAAAATTCGGTAAAAATAGAGGGAAATTTCGGTTATTGAGGAGTAGCGGATGATTGCAGTATCAAAATTATCCCTTTCAGTAGACAATGAGTTCAGTAAATTTCCTAAAGTATTAGTATTCGGGCAAGGTTTAAGAAATCCGGAATTCTCCTCAAATGCTTACCTGCGACTTTGGTATTTCTTGCATTTTCGCCCAAATGAAGGGTTGCCAACGTTACGGCGAGACAACTTTTTCAGATTCGCCTATTTTTATGAAATATTGAGGTCTGAATCGCAAATTCCATTAAAGCCCTTAAAATTATATAACATTTTCAGTCACCGGTTGTGTGCTAAATGGGAGGTAGCGATCTGCCATTAGTTCTAATGGCTTGTAACCCGTAGAGTCTTATTGTTATTACGTGGCGGAACCTCAATTAATTCTCATTAAGATTTTAATTAAGTGTTGGCATTTTTAAAGCGATAATTGACAATAATTCGATCAATAATCGGTAGAAAGCGGCTTAATTGTGCGATGTTTATCGTTGTGACATGTCTACAATGTCGTCTTTTATTTGCGTTTTTGAGGAAGTAGGAGCTTAGTTTATTGTGTGTTAGAACGATTTTAATTTGGATCGATGTTAAATCGCCTTTTCAAGTGAAACTTCTATTGTGTTTGACCAGAAAGCAATTTTTTCCGGCATTTTCTGAAACTTGTCACGAAAGCTTACTAAGTGGAGCACCCTCCCATTTATTCATAAATCAAGTTAAGCCTGATTTCAACCCCCAATATTTATGCGTTTTGGTGGGACATGTAGACGCATTCGTCATCATCATGATTCACAATGCAACATATTCTTTCCCCGACTACACCGAAAACAATTTTTAACTTAATTAGCGATGACTAATGCCCTCACCCCTGGTAATTTCACCTATTTCGTACTCAACTCTGTCTTATAAACTTGAGTAAAGTTCAGCAAGTAACGAAATTGTAATAAAAGATGCAATTTTTACGAGTTATAGAGAAAGTTTTACACATAAATTTCGGTAAATATATCTGGCAAAAAACAAAAGCTCTAATTTAAAGTGTAGCTTTTTCCCTGGAATATTTGTATTCAGACCAGCGATGTGAGTAAAAAGATCTTTAGCAACAAAAGAGGGATGATGAAGGAATGGGCTACTTTTTCTGCTCATTTAAACTGTGCATCTCCACCCGTTACACACCGACACGAAATCTTCCTCTTTTGGCCATTTTTTAAATTCACATTCGAAGGGAAAGAAAAACTGTTAAAATTAATCCGAGAAATAATATATTACATCAAGTTTTGGTGTTGAAAAATGTTGGGGAAAAGGCTGATTTTAATTGTGTGGCAAGTGAAACACAAAATTCTGTTCCAATTTTATCATTTCTAAATTTAATTCTCTATAGTTTCCTAAAATCATTCCGTAGGAAAATGATTCTATTTTAACAGATAAATAAATAAAAAAATTCAACAATTTTTTATCGATTAGGATTGGGTAGCAACAACCTTAATGAAATCTGATGAAATGATATTTTTAGAATCTTTTAATTATAAAAACCTTGTCTGAAAATAAAACAAATTATCAAATTGTCATTAAAAATCCACATTTTTTTCTTTACAAAGTCTTTTTTAAATGTATAATTGTTTCGTTTAAAATTAGCAATTCGAGTGAGGTTGTTAATTAATTATACAGGGTGTTTTGGCTAAACTCCACATTAGAAGTATTGTGACATCTGACAACGATATTTGGGTATAAAATTGCATATGGCCATAACCGATTAGGGCCTTGTCAATGAAAATATTTTTAAAAGGGTATTAGAAAGTTATATTTTTTATTGAGTTTTTAATCTTGCGTTATTCTATGAGACCTTTCTTGTACCAAGTTCAGCCGTTTTTGAGATTTTTAGACTTTGTTGACAGTTCATTTTAAAAATTGATAACTTTGTGATTTTTAACAATTTAAGCAATTAAAAGAGAAAAGTTTAAAATAACTTTCTCTTTTGGCCATTTTTTAAATTCACCTTTGAAGGGAAAGCAAAAACTGCTAAAAATCAATCTGAAATAGTATATTACATAGCGATCGATGTAGTAAAAGAGGTAGGTAATAGAACCACCGTCAAGG